TTTAAACCATTGTTCTTCAAGGGAAATTTTAATGTGAAAAACATGCTTTTCTAACAACTGCCAGCCTGGGCCAAGCAATGAGGCTCTTTGGCTGACAAGGGCTGTGTGGCAGATGTTGGGCTCCAGCGAGGATGTGACCTGTGGTGGCTCTGCTCTTTAGAGGCCCATGGCACGGGGATCCACCAGGCTGGGATGCTGGGATTGCAGTGCCAATGGGGCCCATGGTGTGGCTGGTTTGGGAGTATCCAGCAGCCCGTCTGTCCCACCCCAATAACAGCACCTTGCTCCGGGAGCAAAGATCAGTGGAGCAGCCGGTGCTGCTTCCTGCAGCAGCGCCTCTCCCCAGCCTCACCAAGGAACCAGGAGGTTTTAATGACCCAGGAGGTTTTCCTGGCTCTGCTGGACCCGGTTCAGCCCCTCACGGCCGCCCGACATTCCCGGTGCTGCCAGCCCTTCCTTCCCTCCAGGCTCGCCCAGTGTTCGCGCTGGGAGCCCGCACGGCCGCCGGCGCTGACTCACGGCTTGTTTACACTCACAAACACACACAAACACTCACAAACACTCACAAACACACACACACAGAGCCTGGGGCACCGCCAGGCCAACCCCACCGGGCTCAGCTGTGTGGGCAGCGGGATCAGCCCGTAAGGATCTCGCTAAGGTGGCTGGAAATTGGTGTGGAAAGGGAGCCACGAGCTGCTCCTGGCTGAGAGGGACACGAGCTGTGGCTTCTGCAGGCTGGGATGGGATCAATGGCATGGGATGGGATCTGTGGGATGGGATGGGATGGGATGGGATCCATGGGATGGGATCCATGGCATTGAATCCATGGGATGGGATGGGATCCATGGGATGGGATGGGATGGGATGGGATCCATGGCATGGGATGAGATCTATGGGATGGGATGGGATCCATGGCATGGCATGGGATGGGATCCATGGCAGGGATGGGATCCATGGGACGGGGTGGGATGGGATGGGATGGGATCCATGGGATGGGATGGGATCCATGGATGGGATGGGACGCATGGGATGGGATCCATGGGATGGGATGGGATGGGATCCATGGATGGGATGAGATCTATGGGATGGGATGGGATCCATGGCATGGCATGGGATGGGATCCATGGCAGGGATGGGATCCATGGGATGGGGTGGGATGGGATGGGATCCATGGGATGGGGTGGGATGGGATCCATGGGATGGGATGGGATCCATGGGATGGGATGGGATCCATGCCATGGGATGGGATCCATGGGATGGGATGGGATGGGATCCATGGCATGGGATGGGATGCAATGACCTTGCCAGCTCTGGTCGCTGCTTTCCCACATCCCAGCCTTCCCATGTCGCTTGCACCTCCTGGCATTTCCCCAGCATGGACAGAGCTCAGAGCATCTCCCATCACTTCAGGGCACAGCTGAGACTGAGCTGAGACTGGCACTGAGAGCAAAGATTTGAACAGAAGAGGTGTTGGGCGAGTGTGGCTCTTGCTGGGGGCACCCAAAGCACTGGAGAGGAAGAGGACATTTCTGAGAAGGGGAGAGGGAGTGAATCCCCCCAGGGTGATGCTTCCTGTGGAGCTGCAGGGTGCTGGGGATGCTGGTGCCAGCAGCAGGGAGGGGGTCTGGCTCTGGCCATCAGCAGGAGGGATCAGGATCTGATCAGGAATCAAACAGAATGGGTGATCAGATCTGGAGGGGCAGGTCTTGGGAATGTATGTCAGGCTCCCAGCCCTCCCTGAACGCTCCCGCCCTGCCTTCCCTCATGCACACAAGTGGAAGTGTCCCAGCAACATGAAACGATTACTTGGCGAGGAGAATCCAGCTCAGCACTTCTTGGCATTTGTTCACGGCTTTTCATCTTCAAAGCTCCTTGCAAACATTAGCAAACTAATCCCTGCAACCTTCCTGGGAGATAGTGCAGGATCAAGCGGAGGGAGCATTATCTCTCCTCAGCAGATGGGGAAACTGAGGCACGGAGCGGTGACGCTGCCGCCCCGGGGCGCGGGGCGAAGCTCCGTGTCAGCGCTGGGGGTGGAGTGAGCCCATCAAGGTGCCGGCCTGACACTCTCTCCCCAAACAAACCCTGAGTCAATTCACTGGGCTGGAGCCGTGAGGACACGGCAGAAAATCCCGCCCCCGGGTCAGGGCTGCCGGCAGCACCGCGGGGCCGTGCCCTCGGCTCTGGCCACTCGCCACGTGCTCCAGGGATGCGACCCAGGCTCAGCCCTGTCCCCTTTGCTGAGCCCTGCTGAGCTCAGCCTGTCCCCGAGGGTCCCAAGGGCAAAGCTGAGCTGGGGCTGTGGAGCCGCCCCTCTCCCCACCGCGGTGTTTGGCAGCATCTCTGCTTGCATGAGAGAAACTGGGGCATCCCAGAGCGGTGAGGAGAGGAGGAACGGGGCCAGGATCACCCCTGCCTGACAGGGAAATGGCAACACGCAGGGCCCTGGCCAACACCTGCCCACAGATCCACGTATGAAACCTCTGCCCTGACCCTGGGCTCTTCTTCTCAATAGAACCTCTAGCTGCAAATTGCAGCTCTAATTGGTTTAGCAGAGTTTAATTAGCCTGAACTGATGAGAGAGGCGAGATTCCCTCCTTAAAGGAGCCCGGCAGCAGCAGCAGCAGCGTGCAGCAGCTGGAGTTTGGGGGGAGAATGTTTGGGTCTGAACCTTGTCCTGAAATCCGGCTGCAGCCTTGACCCAGCGTGGCACCAGTGCCCAGAGGAAAGGTCAGATGTGAAGCCACCATTCACTGTGCTCCAAAGGGCTCCTTTGTCCCTGCTCCAGTGCCTCCAGCCGCCCCCAGCCCTGGCCCAGGGGTTCCTCTGTCTCCCTTTGGGTGCTGCAGAGCTCCCAGGCCAGCTCCTCACCCCGCTCACTCCGTGGGTGCTGCTGGGGGTCAGTCACACCCTGGGGTGTCTGTGGGGTTCAGGGAGACAGCATCACCCTGGGTGTGGGACTGGCCAGTGGAATTTTGCTGCCAGCTTTGCTTAGGAACCAGCACTGTGGTATCACCACAGGCAAGTTGCTTCAGCCACAGGCAGGACAGAGCCCCCAGCATGGTTTTCCTGGCAGCAGGGCAGCCTCAACAGGACTCTGAGCACCCTTTGGCTCTGGGATCCACTTCCCTCCTGGCCACCAGCCTCCTCCTGCCTTTCTATCAGGATCCTGGCTGCTCCCTTACAGATGCAGCAGCGAGGTCTGACCCCTTCCCTGCCAGAGCCTGCGGTTGTGCAACCCCACTGGCAGCCAAGGAAAATCCCTTGCTGGCCTCTGCGAGCTCCTCTCGCATCCTGGAGCATGTGAGTGAGCGAGTGCATCACCACCCACTCGCTCATGGACATCCCGCTCGGGAGTTTGGCTCTCCAGCCCTCTGCCCTTACATGGGCAACTGCTCTGAGCCAGCCTGGGTCACAGCAGCCAGGACAGGGCCAGGAGCAGCCCAGGGCCAGCTGCTGGCTCTGTGCTTCCCCCCAGGAGCCTGCACTGTCCCCTCACACAGTGTCAGGAGGTGCTGCAGGGCTCCTGTGCCTGTGGATGGCACCAGTGCCACCCGGGGTAAACCCATTTCCAACCCCTCCTCATTCCCAGCCCCTCCCTGGGGGTGCACAGGGCTCTAAGTGGAGAAGAAAAGGAAGATCTGCCCTGCTCAGAGCCTGCCTGCTGGCTGGAGGGATGGAGATGTGGCGGGGGACAGTGGCACTGCTCTCTGTCCCTGCTGGCACAGGGCATTGCACCCACTCCCCCTGTCCCCAGGCTGCTCCACTTCCCACAGGACCAAAGCCGTGTCCAGCCCCATCCCACGCCAAAACCGAGCTGCTCGTGCTGTGCTGGCACCACTCAGAGCCAGGAGGCTGCTGCAGGGCCGGGTGGGTGGTGCAGGCTCCCCTGGGCCCTGCGGCCCCTCTCCGAAAGAGCCCGGCTCAGCCCTGCCGAAAACATGACCTCAGCTGGGGCCAGTGCACGGGGTGAAACGTTCCTCAGCTGCGTGCCTGGGAGCTGGACAGGGCTTGGGGGCTGGAGAGCCCCCTGTGTCCAGCTGTGTCCCCAAAGCTCTGCCTTGGGAGCAGGGTGATGGTCCCAGTGCATCCTGACCCCCCCTTCAGACAGGCAGGTGGTCTCTTTGTGGTGGCACCAAGCAAGGAGCAAAGCCAAAGCTGCCCTGCCTTGCCCTGGGTTCTCTGCTGCCCTTCCCCTGTCCTGTAGGAGCCCCACAAAGCCCGGGAGCCCCTGAGAGCCTGGCAGTGCTGGCCCAGCTGCAGTTGCCCAGCCCAGGGGAGCTGTTCAGGAGGCAGATGGAGCAGTCCTCGTGGTGATGGGGACATCTGTGGAGGACAGGGACAGCACGTGCCACAGGGGTATGGCCCCACAGTTCTTCTCCTTCCTCTCCTTGCCTGGCAAGGCTCAGGGTGGTGCCTCAGTTTCCCTCTGTGTGTTGGCAGTGATGTTGGGTACCAGCCGAGCTGTGGGAGCGTTTGGGGAGCAGAGATGAAAGGAGCCATAGATGAGACAGCCCCACACCGTCCCCCTGCTGCCAGCCGGGGCTGCTCGGGGAGGAGGCAGGTTCGGCTTCATGCGAGGATGGGTGGGGAAGGCACAGGGGTCGAGCAGGGGAGCGCCCTGGGGTCCCCCACGCCTCGGGCTGTGCACAGACACCGCTCTGCTCCTCTCCACCCCGATCACCGAGGGCACCCCCAAACCTCCCCGGACCCATCCCAGTGCCGGGGTGCCGGTGGGACACACGGACACGACCCCCTCCGCCGCCCACTCGGTGGCGATCAGCCCCTCACCGCCTCCCCCCGCTCTCATCCCCCTCGCTGCCCCCCGACTCCCCCGCCGCTGCCCCCGCCCCGGCCCCCCCGCGCCGCCCCGCCCGGTGATTCACGCCGCCCCGCCGCTTTATAGCTCGCTCGGTCTCGCCGCCGCCTCACAGCAACAGGTCACCGGTCACCGGAGCGCCCCGGCCCGTCCCGGCCCGTCCCCGCCCGGCCCGGCCATGCCGCTGCGGCTGGCGCTCTGCCTGCTGGCGCTCTGCAGCCCCGCCGCCGCGCACGGTAAGAGAGCCGCGGGGGTCCCGGTGCAGTCCGTCTGTCCGGCTGCCGGTAACGCCGCTGCCGCCGGCAGGTGCTCGGGGCGGGGGCGGCCCGGCCCGGGGTCGCGGCGCCGTTATGGGGCGGCAGCCCCGGGCTCCGATGTCCCGTCCCGCCGGGCTCCGGTGTCCCGTCCCGCCGGGCGGGTCCCCGGGCTTTTCTTCTTTTTTCCGCCTTTATACCGGGCGGAGCGGCGGCTGCCGGGTGCCCGGCGGTGCCGCTCTGGTGTCCCGGTCGCCCGGGTGTCCCTCCGGCGGGCGGGTCCCGGGTGCCGCCCGGTTCCGCAGCCGCGTCCCGGATCGCGGCGGTCGGGACATCGCGCAGCCGGTGCGTCCCGGGGGATCCCCGTTCCGGGGCTGCGTGCCCCCGGTGGGACGGGCCGGGAGCGGCGTGTGAAGTTCGGAGCTCGGACCCCTCCCGCTTCCGCTGCCGGTGCCTGGGCGGCGTCGGGACAGCGGGAGAGGCCGCCCCGTGACACCGGACCGGGGCTCTGTCAGCCCGCCCAGCGCCGGTGCCGTGCGGTGCCGCCGGTGTCCCCGCAGCGGAGCGGGAGTTTCCACCTTCCCCTCGCACGATGCTGAACGTTCCGTGGGGAGCGCGGGTGTTGTAACGGGAAATTGAGCTCGGAAAAGCAATTGGATAAATCCGCGGAGGGTAAACCCGCGCGTTGGAGCGGCCGGTGCTGCCCGAGGTGTGCGGGCGCTGATCCCCGGGGCTTTGCTCCATCATGGACTTGTGACAGAGCCAGAATCGCGTGCGTGGGGAAAAAGAGGGGCACAGGGGGTTTAGGACGGGGGCAGGCTCCGCTTTGGAGCCGGGTCAATCCTGCTGAGGAGGGGAGCGACTCCCGCCTGGCAGCGCAAGACCCGTCCCTGCCCCCATCATCCCTCCCTTCCATCTTTCGCCGTTTAGCAAACCTCAAGCACAGCTAATGAGAGCACGAACCCAAATAAGCGTCACAAGAGGCTGGTTTGCAGAGGCGGAAATTGCAAAGAAATCACTCACAAAAAAAAAAAAAAAAAAAAGAAAAAAAAAAAGAAAAAAAAATTTCTAACTGATTCGCTGGTGGGTCACGGAACAAACAGGCTTTTGAGTCAGAGGGATCAGTGCCAGACCCAAGGGCTGGAGCAAGTGCCCTGTGCTCCAGCCACTGGCTCAGATGCTCCTCGCAGAGGCCGTGGGTGTCGGGCTCCCGTGTCAGGGAACAGTTCCATCCCTCTGTGGGGCACATGCCAGGAGATCCAGCCCTCACAGCAGCCACCCACTGGCCCCACTCTGTCTGGTACCCCCTCGCTGTGGGGCCAGGCAGGAATTGGGCACAGAGGCAAGGGAGAGGCAAGCTACAAGCCCAGATCCTGGCTGGCAAGCTGGGCATCTCCCAGAGCATCCATCACGGGAGTGCTGGGATAACTGGTCCATGCCTGTGGTCCAAGTGCTGGATTTGGAGCCTGTTGGCAGGAGAGGGCTGGCAGCAGCATTGAGGTGGCCATGGGGGCACTGAGTTGCCATGCCAGGGACCCTTGGGGATGCCTGCTCTTGGACAGATCTTGTGCCACAGGAGCCAGCACAGAGCATCTCTCAGTTCCCCAATTTGTCTCAGGCTCTGGAGCGATCCCTGTGCCTCTGCCCCGAGGTGCTCCAGCCACTGCCAGGATCTCTCTGCCCTTCTCAGGGGTCCTGGCACAGCAGGGATCCCTCACCCTCTGCCCTCTCCACAGGTGGAATCTGCTGGCTGCAGCAGGGGAAGGAGGCCAAGTGCACCATGATCCTGAAGACGGGCGTGACGTGGGAGGAATGCTGTGCCAACGGCAACGTGGACGTGGCCTGGTCTAATTACACCTACCCAGGCAACAAGATCAGCCTGCTGGGCTTCCTGGGGCTGGTCACCTGCCACCCCTGCAAAGGTGACGAGTTGGGGGCTGAGGGGCTGCTGTGGGGAATGTGTGGAGCCCTGGGGGCAACACTCAGAGTCTGGGTGATGCAGCAGCACAGAGCCGGGCTGCCCCTCACCAGAAAAGCTCTCCTTGGTGGTCTGGGACAGCACAGGCACCCCAGGGACTGCTGACCCCATGCTCCTGCTGCTGCAGCTCCTGCTTGGATGCTGCTGTGGATCAGGGCTGGCGGGACAGCCTGTGTCCCTCAGCTGCTCTTGGTTTTGAGTGTATTTTAGTTGCTCTCCCAGTGGAGAGGGATGCATGACCCAGGTCTTGGCAGGGCAGCCAAGTGCAGGGAGAGGATCTGGAGCTGGCTGTTCCCAAGTTAACCCCTCTGAGCTGGGGCCTCCCTCCCCTGCTCCGAAGGAAACTTCGTCAGGTTTTTCTGAGGGGAAAAAAAAAAGATCTATTTCTTCTTCCCCTCCGCTGCCCCTCGCTCCTCCCAGCGCGTGTGTGAAATGGCTTTATGTAACGGGCAGTTCCAGAAGTGGAAACTCTCCAGCTGTGAGTTCCAGCCCCGCCAGATGTTTTGGCGTGTGCCGGAGCTGCGGCTCCTCCAGCCCTTGCGTGGCTGTGTGAGAACAGCTCCAGGACCTGCTGCCCGCAGGAGGCAGGAGCAGGGCTTTGGAAGGTCATGTTGTTATTTGCTTAAAGGGGAAAAAAAAAAAAAAAAAAAGGTTTTTAACCAAACCACTTCCCTCAGCTCCCCGCACCCCTCAGCGCTGCTGCAATGGCAGCTCCTCAACCCTGTCCTGCCGCAGCTTGGGGCAGCTAAAAGCTGAGTGAGATCCTGGCCCCATCCCCATCCCTGCTTGGAGGGAGCTGGGAGCACTGGGACCCTCTCCAGAGGCTCCCCTGTGCTGGAGGCAAATGCAGTGGGGACAGAGAGCCCCCAGGCAGGAGCCTGCACTCACCTCACCCATCTCTGTCAGGGGTCTGGGGGACCCAGAGAGGGCTGACCATGGTGGGGGCTGTGGTTCCTGGGCTTTGTTGGAGTTTGGGGGACCCAGGGAGGGCTGACCATGGTGGGGGCTGTGGTTCCTGGGGTTTGTTGGAGTTTGGGGGACCCAGGGAGGGCTGACCATGGTGGGGGCTGTGGTTCCTGGGCTTTGTTGGAGTTTGGGGGACCCAGGGAGGGCTGACCATGGTGGGGGCTGTGACTCCTGGGGTTTTTTTGGTGTCTGGCAGCAGGATCTTTGAGGAAACCACTGGAGAGCCTGGCCAGCACGTGCACCACAACCCCCCCACCCTCAGGCAGCCCTTGCCTGTCCCATCCAGATGGAGCTGGTGCTGCTCCTCACCCGGCTCCAGAGGCCTTGGAAGAGGGCGGGTTAGAGGAGCTGTGAGGCTGGGAAAGGTTACTCCAGGATAAAATGGGCCAGGGATGGTGCTGGCCTGACCCTGGGGGCTCTGCAAATGGGTCTCTGGGGGGAGGTGAAATTCCTGGCTCCAGCTGCTGGGGACACGGTGTCCCCCCACAGGACCCAGAGCAGGGTTGGGGTCACGGGTGGATTTTCCAACTGCTCCAAAGTGTCCCTTGCTGGGATAGTCTGGATGATTGGATTCTGCACTGCTGGCAGCATCTCAGAGTGGAGGGTGATAGGGTCTTGTTTGTTCTGGCAGCTTTGGGACACGGAGCTACCCTGCTCTGTCCTGAGGTCCCCCAGTCTCATCCTTCTCTTCCCTGGGACAGGTCCCAGCTATGGAAATCAGGGAGCAAAATCAGAAAGTGTTTCCCAGCAGGGAATTTCCCCCAGGGACAGCTGGGCCAAGCAGACAGGGAATTTCCCCTTCTTCCTTTTTCTTCTCCTCATCCTCCTCTTTCTCTTTCTCCCCCTCCTCCTAAGGTGGCCCAACTCCCACAGGGAAATCCCCCTCTGTGCCTCCCAGAGCTCCCAGCACACGCCCTGTCTGTGGGGATCCTTCCTCATGGGGCTGAATCCCCATTTTGGGAATCCTTTTGGTCCTGCCCTGCAGTCCCAGCAGTGCCTGTGTCCTGGGAGCTGCGGTGGCGTTTTGGGGATGAGGGATGTGTGTGCTTTAGGTGGCAGTGCCTGGGAGCTATGGGGGCATTTTTGGGGTGAGGGATGTGTGTGCTTTAGGTGGCAGTGCCCGTGTCCTGGGAGATATGGGGGTGTTTTTGGGGATGTGCTTTAGGTGGCAGCTCCTGGGAGCTATGGGGGCATTTTTGGGGCGAGGGATGTGCTTTAGGTGGCAGTGTCTGTGTCCTGGGAGCTATGGGGGCATTTTTGGGGTGAGGGATGTGTGTGCTTTATGTGGCAGTGCCTGGGAGCTATGGGGGCATTTTTGAGGTGAGGGATGTGTGTGCTTTAGGTGGCAGTGCCTGTGTCCTATGGGGAGCTATGGGGGCATTTTTGGGGTGAAGGATGTGTGTGCTTTAGGTGTCAAAGGGGTCTCCAAATGGGAATCTAAAGGAAAATCCCAGCTGCTGACCCCTTTGCCTGTCCTTGCAGAGGCACCAGTGTCCCTGCACAGCAGCATGGGCCCCTGGCTGGAGCTGCCAGCCCCGCTCCATCCCCGCCAGCGTGGGCACGGCCCTGGGGCACTGGCAGCACCCCCCTGGACCTGGCCCCCACGCTGGCCCAGAGGTGACCTGGGGGGGACAAAGCATCTGCCTGTCTGGGGAGCAGCTCTGGCTGCTGCCTCCTGCTCTTGTGTTCCAGTCAGGGAGCGAGACAGGGCCGGGCATTGTCTGCAGGGAGCAGCGGCATTCCCATCGCCCCGACGGCTCATGGAGCCCGGCTCCTTCTGCAGGAACTGGGGCCTTGCAGAGATGGATTTTTTCCATTGCACAAGAAAAAGAAATGTCTCCTTCCAAAGAATAAATAGATGGGAAGGAGTGAGCTGGTGCTGAGCGGGGCCGGGGCTCCGGCTGGGGTGAGCACGGGAGGATTGGAGGAGCTGCAGCCAAGGACCTGCTCCTGCTCCGGGGCTGAGCAGATCCAGATGCTGCTGGGACAGCTCGGCTCAGCACGCGTGCCCTGACCCGGGGGGCGTTGGGGACCACGGGGGGGACACCCTGTCCTGCTTGGTGTCACACTGTGGGGCAGGGGCATTGGGGACCACGGGGGGGACACCCTGTCCTGCTTGGTGTCACACTGTGGGGCAGGGCAGGGGTGTTTGGGACCATGAAGGGGACAGTCCCAGTCGGTGTCACACTGTGGGGCAGGGGTATTGGGGACCATAAAGGGGGACACCCTGTCCCACTCAGTGTCACATTCTGGGGCAGGGGCATTGGGGACCACGGGGGGGACACCCTGTCCTGCTTGGTGTCACACTGTGGGGCAGGGCAGGGGCGTTGGGGACTACAAGGGGGACACCCTGTCCCACTCAGTGTCACATTCTGGGGCAGGGGTATTGGGCTTGGTGTCACACTATGGGGCAGGGGCATTTGGGACCATAAAGGGGGACACCCTGTCCTGCTCGGTGTCACACTCTGGGGCAGGGCAGGGGCGTTGGGAACAACAAGGGGGACACCCTGTCCCACTCAGTGTCACACTCTGGGGCAGGGGTATTGGGGACTACAAGGGGGACACCCTGTCCTGCCTGGTGTCACACTGTGGGGCAGGGCAGGGGTGTTTGGGACCATAAAGGGGACAGTCCCAGTCGGTGTCACACTGTGGGGCAGGGGCATTTGGGACCATAAAGGGGGACACCCTGTCCTGCTCGGTGTCACACTGTGGGGCAGGGGTATTGGGGACCATAAAGGGGGACACCCTGTCCCACTCAGTGTCACATTCTGGGGCAGGGGTATTGGGCTTGGTGTCACACTCTGGGGCAGGGGCATTTGGGACCATAAAGGGGGACACCCTGTCCTGCTCGGTGTCACACTCTGGGGCAGGGCAGGGGCGTTGGGAACAACAAGGGGGACACCCTGTCCCACTCAGTGTCACACTCTGGGGCAGGGGTATTGGGGACCATAAAGGGGGACACCCTGTCCTGCTCGGTGTCACACTGTGGGGCAGGACAGGGGTGTTTGGGACCACGAAGGGGACACCCTGTCCCACTGAGTGTCACACTGTGGGGCCGGGCAGGACGGAGCCTCCCCCGGCGGGTGACAGCCGCTCACGCAGCGCTGCCCTCTGTCCGCAGAGAGCTGCGAGGGGGTGGTGTGCGGCCCCGACAAGGTGTGCAAGATGAAGCACGGCCGCCCCCAGTGTGCCTGCGCCCCCGACTGCTCCAGCCTGCCCCGCAAGCTGCAGGTCTGTGGCTCTGATGGCTACACCTACCGCGACGAGTGTGACCTGCTGACAGCCAAGTGCAGAGACCACCCCGACCTCGAAGTGATGTACCAGGGCAAATGCAAAAGTAGGTGCCTCTACCCCCCTGCATCCCATCCCCATCCTCTGTCCTGTCCCCCATTCCCTGTGGGACAAAGAGGGAAGATCTGTCCTGTGATGGTGCTCACAGGGGTTCTTGGATGAGGGAAGAGATGAGGATCTGACTCCATGTTTCAGAAGGCTTGATTTATTATTTTATGATATATATTACATTAAAACTATACTGAAAGAATAGAAGAAAGGATTTCATCAGAAGGCTGGCTAAGAATAGAATAAGAAAGAATTAATAACAAAAGCTTCTGTCTTGGACAGAGAGTCCGAGCCAGCTGGACTGTGATTGGCCATTAATGAGAAACAACCACATGAGACCAATCCCAGATGCACCTGTTGCATTCCACAGCAGCAGATAACCATTGTTTACATTGTGTTCCTGAGGCCTCTCAGCTTCTCAGGAGGAAAAAATCCTAAGGAAAGGATTTTTCATAAAAGTTGTCTGTGACACTGTCCTGGTACAGGTCCCTGCATGCCATGGGTCTCACTGTCCCTTGAGGGGACATTGCAGCTTGTTGGTGCAATGGGGTTTGGCCTTGCCTCAGGCTGAGCAGTAACAGTCCCTAAAATGTAATTTACAAACGTCAAGCCCCTTTTTTTCCTCTTTTGTAAAGAGTGCAGCAATCCACCCAGCCCTGCCAAGAGCTGTCAGAAGGATTATGGTTATTTTTCCAGCCCTCCTTTCTGGAAGGCTTTGCCTGTCGAGCTCTGGGCTGCGCAGGGAAAAACGTGGGGCAAGAAATGGGAGTTGGGAGCTGCAGATGCCAAATCTTCCAATCCATCAGGGAAAGAGAGGAGGGTGGAGGGACGGTGGGGGTGCAGGAGCCTCCACCCTCCCCAGCAGAGCCCTGTGCAGGGGCTCTGCTCCTGCTGCTCAGGCTCCCTCCACCCCCGTGCGCCCTCGTTCCAGCGCTGGCTCTGCTCCAGGGTGACCCTGCCCTTCCCTCTCGCCGGGGCCAGCACGGCAGCTGCCAGCCTGGCCCCAGTGGCTGCTGCTTCCCTGCCAAGGCACCTGCGTGGGCTCAGCCCTCCTCTGCTGCAGCTGGGCCTCGGCTCCTCCCGCCTGGCAAAGCTCTGGCCAGGGCTGAGCCTGGGGAGACTCAAGGTCATCCAGGGGCTCAGGATGCCGGCCCCTGCCAGCCCCTGCCCTTTGGAGCAGCTCTGATGGGAGATCAGGACCCTCTGGCTCTGCTCTGTCCCCTGCTAGCAAAAGGAGGGAGGGGACTGGGTTTCCCTGGGATAATGCCCAAAGCCTGCCTGGGGTGGAATAGCTGTGAGAAGGGTATGGGGTGACCCTGGGGTGATGCCCAAAGCTGAGCGAAGGGCATGGGATGATGCCCAAAGCCTGCCTGGGGTGTGTGAGAAGGGCATGGGGTGACTCTGGGGTGACCCCCAAAGCCTGCCCGGGCTGAAGTAGCTGTGAGAAGGGCATGGGGTGATCCTGGGGTGATGCCCAAAGCTGTGGGAAGGGTATGGGGTGACCCTGGGGTGATGCCCAAAGCTGTGGGAAGGGCATAGGGTGACCCCCAAAGCCTGCCTGGGGTGAAATAGCTGTGGGAAGGGCATGGCCATCCCTGGGGTGATGCCCAAAGCCTGCCTGGGGTATGTGAGAAGGGCATGGGGTGACCCTGGGGTGATGCCCAAAGCCTGCCTGGGGTGAAGTAGCTGTGAGATTTAATAGCTGTGAAATATTTCAGGGGTGAAATAGCTGTGAGAAGGGCATGGGGTGACCCTGGGGTGATGCCCAAAGCTGTGGGAAGGGCATGGGGTGACCCCCAAAGCCTGCCCAGGGTGAAGTAGCTGTGAGAAGGGCATGGCCATCCCTGGGGTGATGCCCAAAGCCTGCCTGGGGTATGTGAGAAGGGCATGGGGTGACTCTGGGGTGATTCCCAAAGCCTGCCCAGGGTGAAATAGCTATGAGAAGGGCATGGCGTGACCCTGTGGTGATCCCCAAAGCCTGCCTGAGGTGAAGTAGCTGTGAGATTTAATAGCTGTGAAATATTTCAGGGGTGAAATAGCTGTGAGAAGGGCATGGCTGTCCTTGGGGTCACTCCCACACTGCTTCCCTGCAGAGTCCTGCTCCAGCGTGGTGTGTCCTGGCACGCACACCTGCGTGGTGGACCAGACGGGCAGCGCCCACTGCGTGATGTGCCGGACAGCGCCCTGCCCTGAGCCCACCAGCCTGGACCACGCCCTGTGTGGCAACAACAACGTCACCTACCCGTCGGCGTGCCACCTGCGGCGGGCCACCTGCCACCGCGGCCGCTCCATCGGCGTGCGCCACTACGGGAGCTGCTCAGGTGAGCAGGGCGGGCACGGAGCGCCAGCCCAGCCCTCACACCCTGTGGGAGTGCTGGGGGTGCTGGGGGTGGGATGGACGGAGATGAGAGATCTCTGAAGCCAGGTCATGGAATTTGGGGTTTATTGCAAAGGGCCTGTCTCGGGTTGCTGTTTGATAATTGCTGCCCCAAGATGTGCAGGATGTCTTTGCTTCGGCTCGTGCAGCTGAAGAACGAGTCTGGACTCTTCACTTTTCGGTCTTGAGGTTGTTTATTAATTCTTATCTATAAAATTTTCTTTCTGCCCAGCTGAGATCTGCTCAGCAGGGCAGCCACAGGCACTCTGACCGCCCCCGAGGCGGTGTTGTCTTTTTATACTACAAACTACATATAACATATTTACACTTAATTCCCAATACCTATCACCTGTGTTAGACAGTGCACTTCTACTCTAAACCAATCCCAAAGTGCCAACATCACTGCAGAAAATGCAGAACAAGAAGAAGAAGAAGAAAGGCTGGACATGCCGAGATTCCTCCATCTTGTCCCTATAACCCCCATACCAAAAATCCTAAAATCGACATTTTCACCCTGTGATCATTTTATTATTATACTATTCAAACCCGTGTGACTTTTACGTCCTCATACAAAGTTGGCAACTTGCTCCAGGGGTCAAAATCAAATCCCCAGGTGCTCTGGGCTGCATGCTAGGGTCTCCGAGCCCCCTGTCAGAATTCTTGGCAACTCTGGGCACCCAGAGGAATGCACTGAGTTCTGACCGGCCTGGGTGCAGGGACCGTGCTGGGAGCTGCCAGGCACAGCTCAGAGCAGGCCCAAGAGAGGAAAGGGGTAGAGAGGATGAGAGGGTAAGGGAGTAAGGGAGCAAAAGGGGTAAGAGAGTAAAAAGGGTAAGAGAGTAAAAGGGGTAAGAAAGCAAAGTTCCCGTTCCGATACAATAAATCTTCTTCTGTGCTGAATATTCTGATTCTCACTAACCAATCTAGTACAATACATACAGCCTATAAGAGTCACTACATTACCATACTGTGTTACATTTTAAACCCTAAAAACTCCTCTTTGGGCCCCTTCTGCCAGGCTGGCAGGGTCTGCTCTGACCCTTGGAGCTGCCTGCAAGCAGAGGGTGTTGTTCCATCAAAAGGGGATCACCTTCAGCCAGCCACGCCATTGTTTTCCAGTTGTTCAGTGACTGAGGGATCTCAAAGTTTGCTTTCATTTCAATCTCACTTATAGTTTCTATATTCTCAAAATCTTTTGCCAGACAATCCTATTTCTAAGGCTTTCCTGTTTCATCTTCCCCAACATCACCCCCCTCACCACTTCCCTCTGTTTCCAGCTGCGGCCAAATTCTCTGCGGAGACGGACAGCGTGGAGGAGAACTACGTGTGAATCGTCCCTCGGCCGAGCTGGGAGACAGGGGCATTATGTGTATATTGTACAAACCATATACCTGATATTTATTAAGATTAAAAGGTCCTTATTTATCCCTGTGTATGTTAAGCAGTCGCAGGGGGCTCGATTCCCATCCTGCCAGCCAGGGAGCAGGGGAGGGGGCTCATGGCCCAGGTGCCCAGGGATGCTCTGGTGCCCTCCCCTGCTGCCAGTGCAGTGTGGAGGGGTGTCCATGGGCCCCCACTACGTGTCCTTGGCCAGCAGCCCTGGGCCTATTTATTTTTGGATGGATTCTCGGTACTCTGCTGACGTTTCTGGCCAGGAGCTCGAGGTCTAGAGGGAATCTGCACTTTCGCCTTCCCTGAGGGGCTCGGCCCCAGCTGCCAGTGGCAGGAAAGGCAGTGCACGCTGCATCAGATTGGAGATATATATATATATATATATATATATAAACATATGTATGTTATTGTCTCCTAAAGTTTCAGCACGTGTGTGTTCAAATGGATTTCAGTTTAGGTTTTCCCTAGGCCCGTTCAGACCAGGCTCCCACCAGCTTTGGAGGTGATGCCAGTGCCTGGAGGGCTGGGGCAGTGGCAGCCTTGCCTGGGGGGCACAACCATGGCCCTACCTGGAGCCCATCACCCAGGGCAGCTGCCCCCAGCCCCCCTAATCCCTGCCTGCCAGAACAGCTTTGGGCACAGCCTGGGCTGCGGGGGGAGCTGGCCCTGTCCCCCCCCAGGACCTGCACCCCCTGCTCTGCCCACACCTGTATTTATTTTTACTCCTTCTCTCATTTCTTCCGTTGTCACCTGTGTAAATACCAGCTCAGCTCTGACACCAAAAAGCTCTTGACTTTATATAAATATCATATATATATATTATATATAAAAATACCTTATTTTCTATTTTTGTATGACTGGGTTCTGACCCCCGAGGTAGATGCTTTGGGAACATCCACATTCCCTATTCCATATTGTTGGGGCATTTTACGGCTGTGTTATGATTTGGATTACAATTAAAAACCAGAATAAACAGTGCTGCGTGTCTGGCTTTGTGGGTGGGTTCTGGGGTCGCAGGAAACCTCGTTCTCCTTGGGGCTGTGCATCCATAAGAGGGTCTGGGGGTGTGGGGAGCCCCCCACAGCCATGAGGAGCTGCATCCCATCTGCTCCAGCTCCATGCTGGGGTTTTCCAGCCCAGCAGTGGGAGGGAAGGGGAGAGCGGGGAAGAGCTCGGCAGATAAATCTGTTCCCAATCTCGGGCCGTGCCATGAGGGTTTGGTATTTCACAAAACAATTCCTGCCGGTAATTGGGTCCCGATGTGGGGATGTTTCCCGGGCAGCAGCCTGCGGCTTGGCGTGCTGAGCTCCACAGGAACTGCAGCCGGATCCCCTGTGCCTGGGGCCGGCATGGCACAGCCCCTGACCCGCGGCCAATCCCCTCGGAGCCATCACAGAGAACCATCGAGCTTGGAAAAGTCATCTCAGACAGCCCAGGGTGGGCATGGGCAGTTCTGCTACATCCCCTCTCTGCTCGCCCAGCTCAGCAGCGTCCCCCTGCTTTGAGCGTGGGTGTTCAGGAGTTCTCAAAACACTGCCCATGCCTTTCTAGGTGCCTTTCTAGGCACCTCAGCCTGGCTCCGGCCATGAGCCCCCTCCCCTGCTCCCTGGCGGGCAGGATGGGATTCGAGCCCCCTGCGACTGCCTAACGTACACAGGGATAAATAAGGACCTTTTAATCTTAATAATAATCCCACAGGCGGTGCTGTGTGGCCTGGGCTCCTCCAGGGCCGCCGGCAGCGCTCCCTGCCCGCGGCAGCTGCCGCTCCTGCCCCGCCGCAGGGCTCGGTCCCCGGAGCTGGCGGTGGCTCCGTGCCGAGCCCGCGGGCACCGGCTGCGGCGGCAACGGCAGCTCCTGTGATGATGAGCGGGAGATTGCAGCTTCCAAAACACGGCTGTGAGTCAGGCGCCGCCTTCCCACCGGTTTTTGGGTGGTCTGGGACAAGCCGGGACAGGCGCCGGCTCTCCAGGCTCTCTGCCAGCGCGGATGCCCTCGGGCTGGCAGCGCTGTCCCGACATTCCAGGGGGTCTCTGCCCCACGCTGTCACTGCCAGCACCCCACTGCGATTTGGGGCTCCTTTGGAAGATCCCCGGCAGGGATCCATCCATCCATCCATCCTCTGCTCGATGTCCCCAAAGCCACCGCATCTCCTGACCCCGCGCAAGGCCCTGCAGCAGCAGCCGCGGCAATTTGTGCCGGCAATTTGCAAATAAAAACTAAAAACAAACAGCCAGGAGCAGGCAACGTCTGGGTCTGTCCCCGGAGACACCGGGCACGGCCACACGTGTCGCAGCGCCTGGGCACCCGGCTCCGCTCTGAGCGCGGGGGAGGCGGGCGAGGCTCCCGCCGGGATCCAGCGCAGCTGGGAGCCCGCCTGCCCTCGGGGGGTGTCTGTGGTTCCCCTCTGTGGTTCCCCTCTTTGGGGGGGTCACGTCGAGCGGCGGGGAGGGCGCGGTGCGGGACGGGATGGAACAGGATGAGGCCGGATGGGATGAGACGGGCTGGGACGGGACCGGGAGCCACACCCCGGCGGGAAGGCAGCTGGGGATGCTTCTGGGGTGGCAGCACCTGGATGCGGATCCTGGCTCCTCTGGGGCAGGGCCTGCACTCCTGGATGCGGATCCTGGCTCCTGGATGTGGATCCTGGCTCCTGGATGCGGATCCTGGCTCCTCTGGGGCAGGGCCTGCACTCCCCTCCCTCCTGCATCCCCTGCTCCATCCACACACAGCCAGGACAATCAGAGGGATCAAAACACAGAGAGAGAGCAGTGGGATGGGGGCTGAGGGTTTATTGAGGCTGGGGCAGGGCCTGCACTCCCCTCCCTCCAGTATCCCCCTGCTCCATCCACACACAGCCAGGACAATCGGAGGGATCAAACCACAGAGAGGGAGCAGTGGGATGGGGGCTGAAGGTTTATTGAGGAAGGTAAATGTTGACACAGCAGGAGGATGTATGGGGGGCTTCTGGTGTAGCCTGGGGGGTGCATAACACCCCTTGCCAATGGGCAGAGAGGGGCTCCTGGCCTGCCCTGGAGCCCTGAGCATCAGCCCCCAGCCCCTCCAGAGCTGGAGGATGTGGAAGTTCTGGCCCTCTTCTCCCCTCCCATGAGAGATCTCAGCCCCTCTTCCCCCAGCCTGCCTGCCCCCAGCACTCCCAGCCACCTTAGGGCTTCAGCCACCCCTGTCGAGGGCGGAACCCTCGCACAACGTGATGCACCCAGTCAATGTAATTGGAGATCTTGGTGTAGATATCAGGGAACCGACGGTCCCCACACCTCTCCCCAGAGAAGGAAACGATGCCATGAACCTTGTCCTTGAAGACCAGGGGTCCCCCGGAGTCTCCCTGCAGAATGAGGGGATGGGAGGGAGATCTGAGGGTCCCCCGGAGGGGTCAGTGAGGGGCAGGGGCTGGGGGTGCACTCACAGAACAGACTCCCTGCAGCCTGGCGCTGCGGCTGGCCCCGCACAGCATGTTGGCAGAGACCTTGCCCCTCCACAGCGTCCGGCACAGGCTCCTCTTGACGATGGTGGTGTTGGTCTCCATCAGCTCCGTGGGCTGCTCTCCAAAGTTGGAGGTGTCCCCCCAGCCCATGACGGAGCAGACGGTGCCGGGTTTCAGGTCGATGTGCGGGCAGGGCAGGCGGATCCGCTTCACGAACTCGTTCAGCGTGGCCGACCCGTTCAGCTGGGGGCAGCGAGGCCGTGGGTGGCTTTGAGCTGGGCTAGAGCCCCCCAGCTGCTCCTGCTGACCCCTCCCAGCCCTGCCTTTCCTCCTGCAGAGGCTGGGCCCCTCCCTGCCACCCCTCTGCACTGGTCCCAGTCTGCTGTAGAGACCCGACCCGGCCAGACTCGGTGTGTCCTCAGTGCCTCCAGCACACCCCAGGCGCGGTCCTGCTTCTCCGGAGAAGCACTGACATCTAGTGTCGGCTCGGCCCCTCGTGGGGCACCGCAGCTCCCTCCTGCTGTCCTGGGGCTGTGGATACCCCACGTCCTCCCGGTGCTCCGGGACCGTGGGGCACCCAACCTTCATCCCAGAGCCCCGGGGTCGTGGGGCACCCCAGCTTCTCCCGGTGCTCCGGGGTCGTGGGCACCCAACCTTCCTCCCAGAGCCCCGGGGCCGTGGGGCATCCAACCTCCTCCTGGTGCCCTGGGGCCGTGGACCATCCGGCCGACTCCATCTCCCTCCCGGAGCCGTGGATACCCCAGCTCCTCCCGGTGTCCTGGGGCTGTGGGGCATCCAACCTCCTTCTCAGAGCCCCGGGACCATGGGGCACCCCATTTTCTCCCGGGGCCATGGGGCACCCCATCTTCTCCCGGGGCCATGGGGCCGTGGACACCCAACCTCCTCCCGGTGCCCCAGAACCGTGGGGCACCCAACCTCCTCCCGGTGCTCCGGGGCTGTGGGGCACCCAACCTCCCTCTAAGAGCCCTGGGGCCGGGGACACCCAACCTCCCTCCCGGGGCCATGGGGCACCCAACCTCCTCCCGGTGCCCTGGGGCTGTGGGGCACCCAACCTCCCTCGAAGAGCCCCAGGGCCATGGGGCACCCCATGTCCCTCTCAGCCCCCGGGGCAGTGCCCGGTGGTGGTGCAGGCTCACCCGGAGCAGGCGGATGTCGTTGTCCGCGGCACGGGGGGTGTACAGCGGGTGGGCGATGGACTCGACCACGCTGAAAATCTGCTGGGACTCCTCGGGCTCCTGCGGCCGCTGGGCTCCCAGCACCACCCGCACCGAGGGGCTGCCCCTGCGGCCAAGGCGGGGCTGAGAGGGCGCTGGTGGCCGCCGGGGACGGGGAGGGGATGACCAGGGGGACTCAAGGGGGGCAGATTGAGTGGCTACAAGGGGCCACAGCGTGTCCAGGGGACGAGGCTCACCTGGGAATGAAGCAGTGGGCAGCTGTCATCACCCACCTGGGCCACACCAGGAAGCCCCCGCAGACATGCTCCCCGTCCAGCTGGATGGAGGCCATGAAGGGCCGGGAATGGGGTGCTGCAGCCTTTCCCCCGATGATCTGGCTCCCCTGGGTGCCTGGTGGGTGCAGGTGGTGGTTGGAGGCCGGCGTTGCTGTCTCCCACCCTGGGGATGTGCCCTGGCACCCCCAATTCTCTCATTACCTGCTGGAGCCAGAGCTGGGAGCAGGATGAGGATGAGGAGCCCAGCGGTGACCATGGTGGCACAGAGAGGGGACACTGCCACCACCGCTGGGGCTGCTCGGGCTGGGGGGGCTTAAATCCCCCCAGGGGCTGAGCCTTGGGATGGGGGCGGGTGTTTCCCTGCTGCTTCCTCCTCCGGGTGTTGCTGCTTTGTGCAATTCAGGGCTCGGGGAGCTCCGTGCAGCTTCCCCCGGAGTGGGAGATGAGGAGCAGAGCAGCTCCTCAGCCCTGACTCCTCTTTTCCTTGAGCTAAGTGCCACGGATCCCCTCTCCGCAGGGAGGTGGCAGCAGCGGGGCCCCAGGACATCTCTCAGACTCCACGGTGTCCCCGGGGCTGCTGCGGGTGGCACAGGGACTGTGCTGTGCCCCCATCCTACACCTCTTTCAGCCCCTCCAGAGCCCCGATGGCTCTGGGATGATGCTGTGGGCAGAGGGGCAGTTTCCTCCCTCTGTTCTGCATCAACCTGGAACGCCAAAAGGGGTGCAGGGGGTGGGGGGCATGGGGGATGTGTTGACCTTCACTGCAGAGCCCGGCTTGCTCAGGGGCCAAGAGCAGAGCTCTGTCCCGGCAGCGTTGGGCAGATTTCCCAACGGAGGGTGGCTCAGGGCTTCCTGCGGCAGTTTGCCCATCAGGGCCGTTGGGTTGGGAAATAGGGGAGTGGAAAGGGGGAGCAAAGAGTCGCTGGTTCCTGGAGTGGGGCAGGACGGAGTGGCTGCACTCACAGGGGTGGGGGTTACACCCTGACAGGGGCTGTGCTCATGGAGAGGCTCTGATTGCAGCCCCTCCAACCCGCCCCACCACCCGCTTCGGGACCCCCAGAACCTGCCCCAGCTCCGAGAGCCCCCCCCAGGCCGGCTGAGGGGGTCTGGACCCTTGTGGGACCCCCAGGAGCAGATAACCCAACCCTAGCGCGGCCCGAGGCCGGCTGATGGGCGGCGGCAGTGGCGGGGCGCGCCCGGCAGACGGAGCTGTGCGGGAGGGAGGGAGGCGGGAGCACCGGCGCGGCCCCGACATCCCTGCGCATCCCGCAGCCCCGCCGGGGATGCCGCCGCCCGCCGGGCCCTGAGCGCCGGGACGCCGGCGGCCGCCGGCCCCGCTCCGCCGCTCCCCGACCCCACCGGAGCCGCCGCCGGGACCATGGAGTGAGTACCGGAGCCGTGCTGGGATCCCGGTACCGGGGCCGCGGCTCCCCCGGGCCCCGCCGGCTGAGACCGCAGTAGCGGGGAGGGGGGAGCGGGGAGCGGGGGCCGGGGCTCGGGACCCCCGCACGGGGCTGCGGGAAAATCGCTCCGCCCGCTCACGGAGCTCCTACCGGGGGCTCCCGCACCCCCGATGCCGCGGCTGGGAGTCCGAACATGGGGTCTCAAATCCCCCTGCTCCCGGGCACTCGGCACCCCAAAACCGGAGGCTCGCACCCCCCTGATTCTGGGGATTCAGCACTCCGGTTCTGGAGGTTTGAATCCCCCCGTGCTGAGGTTTGGGACCCCCAAAACCGGGGGTGGGGCTCGCATCCCCCCCGTTCCTGCGCTTGTGACCCCAAAACTGGGGGCTCCCATCCCGCCGGATCCCGGAGCTCAGGACCCCAATACGGGGGGCTCCCATGCCCTCGGTTCCGGGGCTCGGGACCCCCATCCCGGGGCCTCCTTGCCCCCGGTGCCGCTCGGCAGGTGCGGCCCCTCCCCGGTCCCGGCTCGGGGGGCAGCAGCGGAGGCCCCGGGCTTGGGGTGCGGGGGTGCCGAGGGTGCGAGGGGTGTCGGGGCTGGCAGCGGTGCAGGAATCGGGGGGAGGGGGTGGACAGGGCGTTTATTTTTGTGTTTTGAACCTGTTGTTGCTGCTGCGTGTGGTGGGGTGAGTGGGTGGGAAGAGCTGCGGACCCCTCCCTGCGCTGCACCCCCGGCCCCTGGCCTGGGGAGGCGGCTGTGGCCGGGGGGATCCTGGTGAACCGGGTCCCAGCTGGACAGACGGACACTCGGGGAGCCCGGCCTCATCCTTTGTGTGCTGCGGTGGGGCCCTGACCGGAGCCGGGCGGGTGGGGGAAGGACGGAGCCGGCAGAGGCCACTAGGGGCTGGTGGCCACCGACTGTCCTGCTGGTTTTGCCCCTCTGGGGACACCAGGAGGGTGCCAGGGCTTGGGGGGCTGCTCGAGGTGCTGGAAGGCAGCCCTGGCCCTGTCTCACCCAGGCCTGGTGGCTCTCCAGCGTGGTGAACAGCCCAGCAGCTGCCTGGGGTTGGCACTGGGTGCTCCTGCAGGCGCTTTGGGGTCAGCCACCCTCTGCTCCTGGTGGGCGCCTCACCCTCGTGGGCACCTCGCCGTTTGTGGCACTGGGTGGTGACACAAGGGGTGCTCAACAGGTCCCTCTCAGCACATGGGAGCCCTGAGAGGCCATGGAGCACTGGGGAGGGGTGGGCTGGGGGTGTCCTGGGCTCTGGGGCTGGAACTGAGCTGGGGGCGGCTGCGGGGGTGTTGTGGGAATTGGGGCGCAGCAGCTGCAGGGCTGGGGAGGCAGAGAGGGCTCCCTGTGCTGCTGGGCCAGGGCTTGGGGCAGCTCCACAGTCCCTGCAGGAAGGAGCCTCTTTGGGGAGGAAAACGTGCGTGATTTGCCAGAAGGCAGCAGCGAGGGGAAGGGCAGGGCCCAGGGGTGTGCCGTGCCCTGGGGAGGGGGTGAGGAGCTGCCAGGCTGGGCTGGGGCTGAGCTGGGGGATGGTGCTGGACAGGCTGGTGGCTCCCGGGCTCCACATTCACCCTGCTCTGCACCAACCCTCCCAACAAGGGCCAAACAGCCCACAGAGGGCTGCAAAGGGTTTCTCCTTCCAGCACCTGCCAACATCTCTTTATTTTGAGTGAAAATCTGCAAGTGACCCGGGGTGGGGGGGGCACAGACACAAAGAAAAACAACAGAACCCCTCCAGCCACTCAGCTCCAGAGCCTGGCTGAGGGGCTGGAGGATGAGGAGGGCCCCAGGGCAGCTGGGGACACGGCAAGGTGCTGCCACAGTGCCACCCTGGCTCCGTGGCAGCCAAGGGCTGTTGGGGTGGGCACTGCTGGGGTGGGCACTTTGCCCTGGCTCCTGCTCTGCCTTGGCACAGGCAGTGCCTGGAGGAGGGCTCTGGCTGCCACAACCCACTGGTGCCCAGGGAGCTTTGGCAGAAAGTTTCCAACTCTGGAAAAGGCTGTGCTGGTCCCTCTGGAGCTGCTCTTGTGCCCTCTGCTCCTGCTGCTGTCAGAGCTCGTGAGCAGCTGCAGATTCTGCATTCACATCTGGCTGCTCTGCTGCTTTGTCTCACTGGCTGCTATCCCCCTGGCTTTGAGGGTGTCCTTGGAGTGAGGGCTCTCCTGGTCCTGCCTTCCCTGGCTGGAAGGTGGCAGTTGCAGGGGAAGGAGGGAGATTTCTGCCTGAGAAATAACTGAGATTTCTGCCATAAGTCCTTTGGGGAGGGACTCGAGCCCTGGCTCTCTGCTGGCATCCAGGGAGAAATAAAACCCAGGCCAGACCCTGCTGCCTCCAGAAGGGATCAGCTCTGTCCTCCTGTCCGTGTGTCCAGCTGGAGCAGCACTGTCAACCTTCCCAGCTGTCCCAGAGGAGGCCACAAACCCCAAAACAGCTCCCCACAACAACACCCTACAACAACAACACCCTACAACACACCCCAAAACAGCTCCCCAACACAGCACCCAGCCCTGCCTGGGGCTGGCAGATCAGGGGGTTCAGAGCTCACAGGGCCTCCCAGCTGGACCTGCCTTGCTGGGAGGAACTGGGAGGACCTGGAGCAGGTTTCCTGGGAAGCTGCTGCTGCTGGTGTTCCTGCTTCCTGGCCAGAAACAGCCCCTTTCCCCAGGGGGGTGGGGGTTCATGGGGCTGCACTGAGCTGGGGGCTGAGCTGGGCCTCCAGCAGGGGAGGTGGCCTAGGAAAGCTGAGGAGGTGGCCCAGGAAAGCTGAGGAGGTGGCCCAGGAAAGCTGAGGAGGTGCCCTGGGACAGGGCTGGGGCTGGAGGCACAGCCCAGCTTCCTGCATCCCTTCAGTGCATCCTGAGACAAGCAGCCCCCAGGTCCCAGACAGGAGCCACTGTCAGGGACAAGGATGAGCCTGGAGGAGGGAGAGGAGCCGGGTGGATCCTGCCCCAGACAGGTTTTTCCTGGGTTGGGCCCAGCCCCTGGGCTTGGCACCGAGCACTGAGCTCCCTGTGAGCCCCCAGGGTGTCATCCCCCGTGTCCCTGCTCTTTCTCCCTGCTCCTTGTCTGGGTGTCAGGGCTCCCAGGGGTGCCCCTGCCTGGATCCACCTTCCTGCTGCCTCCTTGGGTCATCATCTGTGCCTGTGTTCGTGGCATTGCTGCTCCTGGCACGCAGGAACCCAGGGATGGCTGGTGACAGGGGACAGGTGCCACATCCTGGCCAGTGCCAGCACTGCCTGTCCTGGCCAGCCAGTGCCCCTGGGGGTGGGGAGCAGCCGGCTCCACTCCCATTCATGAATCCTGGGGGGAGTTTCCTTGCTCCTCTAACTGGAAAGGAGCTGGAAACCCAAGTGTTTGGAGGGCACTTGAACCATTGTTTGAAAGATCTGTAATTTTCCAATCAAACTCCCTCCCCGAGCCTCCGTTCATCAAATATTCATGGGATCCATTTTCTCCTGGCACTCCCAGCCCACGTCTCAGCCCGAAGAATCAATCAGGCAGCTCGGCTTGCTCTAATGCATCTGCGTTTTTCGGGAGCCTGGGGCTGCCATCTCCTCCCCCCGCCTGTCCCTGTCCCTGTCCCTGTCCCTGTCCCCTCCCCGGGCAGGGGGATGGCTGAGGCTGTGCAGGCCGCTGGGAGGAGTGTGATGGGCGCTGGGGTGATGCAGACAGCGTGGGGCAGGGCAAGGGGGGATGCCCTGGATGGATGCAGCAGGACCTGAGCATGGCCACGCTCATTCCTGCCCATCCCGCTGCCGCTGATGCATTTGCCTCCATGGTTGATGCGTGGCGGCCCCGGGGCGGCTGCAGCCCCCTCCCCTTCCCCTCCCTCCCCTCCCTCTCCTGCCGTCGGGGGCGTTCGATCGCGGCCCCGCTGTTCATGGCTTTGTGACAGAGCTTTGCATCCTCCCCGCGGCCGCGTCACTCCGGGCTCCTGGCATGGAACAGAGCTGGAAATCAGCGCTGATGCCTCGATTGCTGCCTTTGCCACACAGCCCGCGCCTGCACGGCGCTGGTGCCCATGCAGGGAGCTCTCCTGGGCTCCCCCAGCTCGGGGCTGAGCGGGCGGGGAGGGAGAGGAGGGCAGGGGAGCAGCTCGAAACGGCTCTTCACACATTCGGATGAGCTAATGGGAAAAAGCGGAGGAAGGCAAATAAACATTATTGTTTCATGTCAGGCGGGGAGGAGACAAAAGGTCACGGGCTTCCCTTGTGATGGTGGGAAACGGCGGCATCAGCAGGGCTGGAAAGAGCTGGAGAGGCCAGGGAGAGCCCAGGGACAGCACGGGTGTGTGTGTGTGTGTGTGTGTGTGTGTGTGTGTGTGTGTGTGTGTGTGTGTGCTCACACGGGTGGGGGTGTGTGTGTGTGTGTGTGTGTGTATGTGTGTGTGTGCTCACACGGGTGTGTGTGTGTGTGTGTGTGTGTGTGTGTGTGTGCTCACATGGGTGTGTGTGTGTGTGTGTGTGTGTGTGTGTGTGTGCTCACATGGGTGTGTGTGTGTGTGTGTGTGTGTGTGTGTGTGTGCTCACATGGGTGTGTGTGTGTGTGTGTGTGTGTGTGTGTGTGTGTGCTCACACGTGTGTGTGTGTGTGTGTGTGTGTGTGTGTGTGTGTGTGTGTGTGCTCACACGGGTGTGTGTGTGTGTGTGTGTGTGTGTGTGTGTGCTCACACGGGTGTGTGGGTCCAGCCTCAGGCCTGGGGATGGCTCCTGGGAGCCCCCAGGGCCTCATCCCCCATGTCCCTGCTCCTTCTCCCTGCTCCTTGTCTGGGCTGGTGGCTCCTGAGGAGCTTGGTGGCTCCTGGGACCACCTTCCCACCCTTGCTGGCACCCAGGATGGATCAGGAGCACCAGAACCCCTAAGGAGGCCCCGGTGATGCCACAGCATTGACTGGCACTCTGTCGGGGTGCCAGGCCTGGGGAGGGCACCCCAGCCCCTGTGGTCCCTCAGCCACCACGAGCATCCCCCCACATCCCCCTGAGCATCCCCCCACATCCCCTTGGCACTCTCCTGTTGCCATGGCGCCGTTGCCATGGCACCGTTGCCAGGGAACCGTCGCCAGGGAACCGCCTCCATCAGTCACAAGGGCCCCAGAGACAGGTCAGGGCAGGCAGGATGGGGGTTTTGGGGGGCCTGGGACCCCCTCCCTCCACCTCAGTGCCTTGTCCCAGCAAGCAGGAACTGGGGGGGTCCCTGCTCAGCCCCCCAGGATGGATCAGAGCCCCCAGGGCAGGGTCTGAGCAGGCTCTGAGAGGCTGCAGCGAGGGGCATCCAGGCTGTTTTGTGTCTCTCCCTGGGCCAGGAAGATTTCCTGGCGTCTGACCTGGGAATGTGGAGTCTGCAGCAAATAATGGAAAATAAAAGAGGATGGAGGAGGGAGGAAAAAGCAGAACAGAATGTTTCAGGAATGCTGTAAAAGTTTGGATCTGTGGAACAGGGCGAGATCCAGGAGAGAAACAGGGCTGGGAGTGCGGGGATGCCAAGGGCTGGGCTGAGGGGACCCAGAGCAGGAGGGAGCTCGTGATGAGGGGGTGTGGGGTGGTGAGGGGCACAGGGGACACCCCAGGGGACACGGGGGACACGAGGGTGTGAGAGCAGAGCCCTGCGCCTGCGCCGGTGGAGCAGCACAAACAGCACAAAAATAACCACCACAAAAGCAACACCTTCCCCAGGGTTTGTTTTCCTGGCCTGGATTTTGTGCATCACAGGGATCCCCAGGGTGTGGGGTGAGGGGAGGACGGCGCCTCTGAGCAGCTCCCAGTTCGTCGCTGCCTTCGAGGAGGGAGCAGAGGCTCCTCTCAGCCTGCAGAGCCCGTTTGAGTGGTGGGACAGGCAGTGGGGAGCCCCTGTGAGGGCACACACATGGCTGGCACAGGAGGGCACAGCCCCGGTGTCATTTGTGGGGCTCAGCACCCCCATCTCTGTCAAACTCCCTCGCTGGGCGCACGGAGCCCACCTCTGCCCCTTGCTCTCGGAAGGAAGCAGAGCTGATCCGTCCCTGACAATACCTCAGCGCCTCCCACCCTAATTAGTGCCGCAGCTCAGCGCTTCATTAGCACCGTCTGGCCAGCAGCCAGCGGCTCCCCTGGAGCGTCCCGGTCCCACCGGGCACTGCCCCGCACCTGGAGCCCCGGGGCTGGGCTGGGCTGGGTCACCACACCCTGGGGACAGGTGGCTGCGGGTGGGGGATGATCCCTGATGATCCCTGGCAGAGCCGTGCCAGGCCAGAGAGGAGGCTGGCAATGGAGGGGTCCTGGCATGGCTGGGCTGCTGAGGTGCCCACGGGGGGCAGAGGCTGCTGGGTGTGTGTCTGAGTGTGTCTGTGTGTCTGTCTGTGCATGTGTGTGTCTGTCTGTGCACACGTGTGTGTCTGTCAGTGCATATGAGTGTGTCAGTCTGTCTGTGCACGAGTGTGTGAGTGTGTCTGTCTGTGCACATGAGTGTGTCACTGTGTCTGTGCACATGTGTGTGTCTGTCTGTGTACATGTGTCACTGTGTCTGTGCACATGTGTCTGTGTGTGCAGCCCGGAAAGGTCACAGCCGGGGAAAGGTGTGAGCAGCCAAGAAAGGGCTTGGAAATTGGAATGGAAAGCGTGAGCCAGATTGGAACACAGGGCAGCCAGCAGGGCCCTGCTCCAGCCCCTCACAGGCCCAGCCCCTCACAGCTCCAGCACCATCCTGCTCCAGCCCCTCACAGCCCCAGCACCATCCTGCTCCAACATCTTCCTGCTCCAGCACCATCCTGCTCCAACATCTTTCTGCTCCAACCCCTCACAGCCCCAGCACCATCCTGCTCCAACCTCTTCCTGCTCCAGCCCCTCCGTGCTCACAGCTTCCATCTGCACCATGCCAGGACTGGCTCTGCATGAGCTGAGTGCTCCAGGGGCTGGGCAAGGCAGGATTTGGGCAGGACAGGGGCCAAGAGGTGCCTGGAGGAGCTGAGCAGTGAGGGGTGGTTGGTGCCAGGGTAGCGAGGAGGAAGCAGATGGTAAGAAGGAAGGGCTCAGCCTTTGTCTGTGTCCCACAGTGCCCGCTCTGGTGGCAGCACACTGTTCCGGTGAGCTGCCGCTGCTGTCGCTGCTCACAGCTGCTCTCTGCTCTCTCTCCGCAGGGTCGTGGAGGCCAGCACGCTTCAGCAGGAGAGGCTGCAGGCCATCGCCGTGAGTCCCTCCCTGTCCCCAGGGCGCACAGGGGCAGGCACGGGCAGGGAGGAGGGTGCGGGAGAGCCGGGGCAGGTGCTCAGCCGCAGACTGGGGGTCTCCAGCAGCTCAGTGAGGACTCAGAACGGCCCGGTGGGGGCTCTGCTTGGGGTGCCACAGCTTGAAACAGGGACAGAGCAAGCAACAGGCAGCTGGGAGGTTTAATTAACGAGGCAGCGCCTTGACGAGCCCCAAGTGAGGGAAATGAGTGATGATTCCTTCCCCAGGAAGGGCTGAGGATGCTGCTCTCCAGCCATGCCCAGCATGGGCACTATATTATATTAATAATATTATTATAAATAACTATATTGTATAAATATATATTATAAATATATATAATATAAAATTATAAATAACTAATTATAAATAACCATATTACATATATTAATAATATTATTATAAATAACTATATTCTATAAACACATTATATAAATATATATATGTATATAAATTATAATAAACTAATTATAAATAGCTATATTGTATGTATTATATTAATATTGTTATAAATAACTATATGCTATAAATATATTACAATATATTACAATATATTATATATTATAAATAACTAATTATAAATAACTAATTATAAATAACTCTATTATATATTATATTAATTATATTATTATAAATAACTCTATTATATAAATACATATTATAAATAGATATTATGTATAAATTACAAATAACTAATTATAAATAACTTGATTATATATTGCATTAATAATATTATTATAAATAACTATATAATATACATATATATTATAAATAGATATTATGTATAAATTACAAATAACCAATTATAAATAGCTATATTATATTTTATATTAATAACATTATTAGAAATAACTCTATTATGTAAATACATATTATAAATACATATATAAATTACAAATAACTAATTATATCTATATTATATTTTATATTAATAACATTATTATAAATAACTCTATTGTATAAATACATATTACAAATACATATATAAATTACAAATAACTAATTATAAATAACTATATGGTATATAATCTATTAATTAGGGAGCAGCTGGGGGCCCTGCTGAGCGACCCCTCCCAGCTCAGGGCAGGGCAGGGGGGAATGCTTGAACCCACCCAGCGCAGCCCCGGTGCCCAGCCCCGCCGGCAGCCGGCCGATCTCTGCCGCACAAAGGGCAAATTGTTCTGGAGCAGAGCAGAAAGCGCCGGGCCTGACTCTGCTGAAATGATCTGGAGCAGCCTCAGGCCGGGTGGCAGCGAGGGGGGGACGAGGCAGAGCCCGCGGGGCCGGCCGAGGGGAACGGTGACATTTGGAGATGGTGAGCAGAGCAAATCCTCCACACCCTCAATGCTTCCGTTTGTGCCAGGGAGAGCAGGGATTCGGTACCAGCCTTGCTGGGGGGTGTTCCCAAGGCTGGTGTGAAAAAACGCCAATCTCTTCTTTTGAAAATTTTAAAATTTTAAAATTTTTAAACATTTTAAAATTTAATTTTTTTTTTAATTTTAAAAGTTTAATAGTAATAAAATGGTTATAAAAATAGTAATACGATTAGTATTAATAAAAAATAAAATACTACTAAAATAAAAAAAATAAAATACTACTGAAAATAGTAATACGATTAGTAATAATAATTTGGACAATTTGAATTAGGACAATATGAGACATTAGAGACAAAGAGTTACAGACAGTCCGGGTACCTTTTTCTGGGCAGCACAAGGCTGAAAAAGGACACAGTTAACAGAGGATTAACCCTTAAAAACAACAGCCTGTTGCATATTCATACACCTCATACACGATGCATAAATTCCATTCAAACACAGGATTCTGTCTGGCCAGTGTCAACTTCTTCCTCTGAATCCTGACAGCACCTTCGAGGTGGGAAGAAGTTCGTTTCTTCTGATAAGAGGGCCATAAATTCTCTTTCTCTGAAAGATTTGGGTGTAAACATTCAGGTGTCCTGTGGCTGCTACCTCGGTGCGAGTCCTTTCTTTAAAAAAAGTATCTTACATAGCATCGTTTCTATTTTAACTCTTTGTTATAACCTAAAACTACATTTACCACGCTACTCAAGAGAATTAACACAGCGTCACTTTCCAACACAACGCGTACAATATTCACTGGAACAATTGCCTAAAGCCAATCATAAATTACACATTTTTCACACCGGGAGCCTCAATCCCCGGGGGTTCCCCCTTGGCCCCGCTGCTCTCCCCGTCCCCGCACCGACCCCTCCCCGCCGCTCCCGTCCCTGCAGGAGAAGCGGAAGCGTCAGACGGAGATCGAGAACAAAAGGCGGCAGCTGGAGGATGACAGGAGGCAGCTGCAGCATCTCAAGGTGAGAATCCCCCCCGGGAGCCTGCCCTGGCTGGGGAGGGCAGGACTGTGATCCCCTCCTTGTGCTCCCCAGTCCAAGGCTCTGCGGGAGAGATGGCTCCTGGAGGGAGCCCCAGCTTCTGCCTCCGAGGAGGAAGAGGCCATGAAGAAACAGATGCAGGAGGATGAGGTGAAGACCAAGGAGCTGGAGGAAACCATCCAGAGGTAACGGGGCTGGTGTGGGGATGGGTGTTGGGGTGCAGCTGGAGGGCACAAAGGTCCCTCCAGAGACCCCTGGGCACCCCTCCAGCATCCCTGGGCAGGTGGGTGCTGAGATTCAGGTGCTGGGAGCAAGGCAGGGCACGCTGAGCTTGGAGCTGCTGTGTGATGGTGCTCACAGGGGTCTCAGGTTGAGGGAATACTACCACCTGTGTTAGACAGTGCACCTCTACTCCAAACCAATCTGTGAGTGCCACCATCACAGCAGAAGATGGAGGCCAAGAAGAAGAAGGAGAAAGGTTGGACACACCCAGTTCCCTCCATCTTGCCTCCTGAACCCCCATCCCAAAAACCCCAAAATCTACTTTTCCACCCCGTGATAACTTCACTGTTATTCTACCTAAACTGTTGAGGCTTGCTGATCTTCATACAAGGTTGGTGATTTGCTCCATGGGTCACAGTCAAACCCATAGGTGTTTTGGGCTCTGTGCCAGGGTCTCTGAGCCCCTGGCAGGGCTCTTGGCACTCCAGGGATGTCCTGAATTCCCTTCCTGAATTCCGACACCACTGGAGCTTGTTGCTCTGGCCATTATTGATATTTGCCATTCCCAACTTGTGCCACCATCACAGCAGAAGAAGGAGAAAGGCTGGACACACCCAGTTCCCTCCATCTTGCCTCCTGAACCCCCATCCCAAAAACCCCAAAATCTACTTTTCCACCCCGTGATAACTTCACTATTGTTCTACCTAAACTGTTGTGGCCTGCTGATCTTCATACAAGGTTGGTAATAATCAAACCCACAGGAGTTTTGGGCTCTGTGCCAGGGCTTCTGTGCCCCCTGGCAGGGGTCTTGACAGCCAGAGGGATGTTCTGGGTTCCCACACTTTTGCTCTGCAAAGACACAGCCACGCCAGGGCCTGTGTGTCCCTGCACCTTGCGGGGACAATCTGGGTGTCCCCTCTCCCCTGCCCTGTGTGGCTGCACCACAGTTCCCTGTCCCACACTGCTCTCAGCCCTGGCTCTCCCTGCAGGCTGGAGAAGGAGCTGGAGATGCTGGAGAACAGCAGCTCAGTGGCTTCCACCAAGGAGAACCTGGCAGAGGCAGCAGCCAAGGAGGAGAAGAAGGCTGAGGCTGTCCCCAACACGCAGAAGGTGGGCAAAGCTGCTGGCCATGGGGTCGGGGTGCCCACCCCTGGTGGGTTTGGGGGGTGTGTGGGTGGTGGGTGTGCACACAGAGGCTCTGTGGCACCTCCTGGAAGCTCCTATAACCTCTCCCTTCTGTTTTGCAGAGTCCCCTGGGCACAGTTAAGGGTAGGTGAATCCTGATCCCCCCTCGGCTGTGTTTCAGCACCAGCCATGCCCTCCTGCTGCCCTGAGGCCAGGATGGGTGGGCAGAGCCCGACAAGAGCCCTGGCCCCGTGTGCCCTGGGTGGGCCATGGGGGGACACTCTGGGGCACAGCAGGGCTCAGGCCGTGTCTCCTCTCCATCTCCAGCTGACAAGAGGCTCTCCAGCAGCCCCATGAAGGCAGTGGAAGGCAGTGAGATGATGAAGGCGGGTAGGTGCCCGCTGAGCTCCTTCCAGGCTGCTTCCCCTGCCCTCTGTGCCACCCTCAGCTTGCTCGATGCCTTCCCAAGCCCAGGGCACTGAACATCCCTCATTGGTTCTGCTTTCACCCCACGGTTGGTTTGTGGCTCAGGGCCCTTCCCTGAGCCCTGCTCCACGTTTCTGCTCCAGTTCCACCCTTCCTGCTCTGTTTGCAGCTGCTCTGTGCAGGGCGAGGCAGCAGTGCCAGGCCCAGGGAGCTGTGGGGCACATGGGGCCAGCCTGCCTGGGCTGGGGGGTTTGCTCTGCTTTGGGGCAGAGCTCAGGGCAGATCATGGCACCAGCATGGGGCAGAGCCCATCTGGGGTCCTTGGATGGGGCTGAGGGGACCCTGCTGCAGGAGTGGAAGGAGAGACGCCAAGAGTCACCCATCCCATGGGGGCAGAGGGGCTGTGCCAGCTCCAGCACCCTCATGGGGTTTGCACCTCCCTGAGCATGAGCCTGGCTCCCAGCCAGGCCCCAAGGGCAGCATTTCTCACTGCCTGGACAGACGGACACAGCCGCAGAGCCACAGCAGCCCTGCAGGTACGGGGATGGCAGCAGCACCAGCATGGACAGGGGTCCCAGGAGGAGGGATGTGCCAGGGGTGCCACACCTGCCTCTGCCATTGACTGCTCCTTGCTGCTGCCTTGCTAACACTGCTGAGCCCTGCTGGGCACTGCTGAGTGCTCCTGAGCCCTGCTGGGCACCACTGAGCCTTTCTGAGCCCTGCTGGGCACTGTTGAGTGCTCCTGAGCCCTGCTGGGCACCACTGAGCCTTTCTGAGCCCTGCTGGGCACTGCTGAGCCCTGCTGGGCACTGCTGAGCATCGCTGGGCACCACTGAGCCCTGCTGGGCACCTCTGAACACTGCTGAGCCCTGCTGGGCTCTACTGAGCCTTGCTGGGCACTGCTGAGCGCCACTGAGCCCTGCTGGGCATTGCTGGGCACCACTGGGACCTGCTGGGCTCTGCTGGGCACCACCGGGCACCACTGAGCCTTGCTGAGCATCGCTGAGCCCTGCTGGGCCCTATTGACTCTTGCTGGGCACTGCTGGGCACCGCTGAACACCTCTGAGTGCTCCTGAGCCCTGCTGAGCATCATTGGGCACCACTGAGCCCTGCTGAGCATCACTGGGCACCTCTCAGCGCTCCTGAGCCCTGCTGAGCTTTGCTGAGCCCTGCTGGGCACCACTGAGCCTTTCTGAGCCCTGCTGAGCCTTGCTGGGCACCTCTGAGCCCTGCTGGGCACCGCTGGGCGCTGCTAACACCACTGAGCCTTGCTGAGCATCGCTGGGCGCTGCTGAGCATCACTGGGCACTGCTGAGCATCACTGGGCACTGCTGAGCATCACTGGGCACTGCTGAGCATCGCTGGGCGCTGCTGAGCGCTCCTGAGCCTTGCTGGGCACCTCTGAACACCTCCTCACCCTGCTGAGCCCTGCTGGTCCCTGCTGAGCACCACAACGCTTCCTCCACGCTCCATGCTGCCGCCAGGCACCGTAACCCGCGCTGTCCTCTCTGTGTCCCAGCCATGTACTCGGTGGAGATCACCGTGGAGAAGGACAGAGTGACTGGGGAGACCAAGGTCCTGTCCAGCACCACCATGCTGCCCCAGAACCACTGCCTGCAGGGGGTCAAGGTGTACGAGGATGAGCTGAAAGGTACGGGCAGGCCCACGCCGGTGGCAGGGGACAGGGAGAGGCCACCTGCACATCCCAGCAGGATGAGGAAGGGCAGGGGCTGCTCCTGAGGACAATCCCTCACCAACCCCAGCCCAGTGGATTGCAGGATTGTCATGGCAGCACGGGGTGGATGGTCCAGGTGGTTTGCACATCGTGACCCTGCACTGCTGCAGAGCAGAGAAGAGGATCTGTGCTGTCCAACACTGTCCCATGGGCAGGAAATGTGCACCAGCACCGTGCTGGCCTGTCCCACAGGCTGGCAGCAGGGAGAGTGGCTGATGGGGATGGTGGAAGTGCAGCACCAGGACTGGTCCCTGTCTGCAGCTCCTGCTGCTTTTGGGAACATCTGGGAATCTGCTCCAAGGGACCATCGTGGTGACAAGGACCATCATGGTGACAAGGACCAGCCAGACCCAAGGGACCATCGTGGTGGCAAGGACCAGAAGTGGAAGTGGAGCATCCTAGTGGGAACTGTGGTGGCTGAGTGGACCAAACCCCTCTTCAAGGAAAACACAGCACTCCCATTCAGCCCCTCTGTGTGGCCATGGCCCCTCTGTTTGCCAGGCTGGTCTCTGTCCCTGTCTCAGTGCCTGCCCATTGACCTTCACATCATGGCCCAGGTCAAGTGGAGAACACAACGAGCCCTTGTCTGCTCTGGCCATGACATCTCTGCCCCCAGTGCCACGAGCAGTGGGGTGGGAGAGCCCCATGCGGTGGGGACACGGCAGGGCAGCAGCTGCCCAGCATCCCTGGGGGCTCAGAGGTGGCACTGGTGGCCTGGCAGTGTCACAGCAGCCCTGGCTGCCAGCAGACTCTGTCCTGCCATGGCAGCTTGGCCTGGCACACAGCCGTGGCTCCTGCAGGGCTCACTGCGCCTGAGGCTCTGGGAACAGCTCCTTCCACTGGGCTTTTATTTCAGTCTCCCTGGCTGCTGCCAGGTGATGAGAGAGGGTCTGGCAGCAGCTCTGGGGTGCTGGGAGAGTCCCAGCCTCAGTGGCAGCACCTTTGGAGAGGGGAAGGGGTCGCTCTGTGACCAGAGAGGGGAGGGTTGGGATGGTGTGGGGATCCCAGCCTCAGTGGCAGGAGCTTTGGAGAGGGGAAGGGGTCACACAGGAACTGGGGCTGACGGCAGCAGCTTTGCCAGCTCACCTGGTGCCCCCCATCCCGAGCCCCTCTCACCCTCCCTCCTCAGTGGCAGCACCTTTGGAGAGGGGAAGGGGTCGCTCTGTGACCACAGAGGGGAGGGTTGGGATGCTCTGGGAGTCCCAGCAGGACCTTTGGAGAGGGGAAGGGGTCACACAGGAGTGAGGCTGACGGCAGCAGCTTTGCCAGCTCACCTGGTGCCCCCATGCCGACCCCTCTCACCCTCCCTCTCTTGTCCCCGCAGTGGTGCACGCCGTGAGCGCCGAGGACGGCGCCCTGCAGAACGGGGCGCACCCCCTGAGCTCCTCCGAGGTCGATGAGCTCCTGCACAAGGCGGATGAGGCCACCCTGAGCGAGGCCGGAGGGCGGCAGACCCCGGCCAAGGGCGGCACGGGCAGCCAGAAGGCGACGCCCAGGCGGGAGATCACGGGGCTGCAAGCCAAGGTGCCACCGGGCGAGGGGACAGAGGGCAGCCAGGAGCAGCAGCCCGTCACCATGATCTTCATGGGCTACCAGAACGTGGAGGATGAGAACGAGACCAAGAAGGTGCTGGGGCTGGAGGGCACCATCAAGGCGGAGCTGGTGGTGATCGAGGATGCCGAGGGCAAGGCGGAGCCGGCTCTCAAGGACCACACGCCGCCCAACGGCACCGCCCTGGAGCCGGCGGCCGCGCAGCCCCTGGGCGAGGAGGGCTCGGCAGGGCAGGGCGCCAACGCCACAGATGCCAAGGAGGCCGAGCAGGAGACAGACGTGAAGAAGCAGCGCTGCAAGTGCTGCACGGTGATGTGAGCCCCACGCCGAGCCCCCTTTCCCCCATCCCACCGGACACCGGCCCCTCTTTCTGCACAACCGGGGAGATCCAGCGCGGTGCCAACAGCGGGGATGCCCGCCCCGCGTGCCCGGTGCCAGCCCCGTGCCGCCCCCACCAGCGCTGCCTGTGGTATTTATTAGTGCCCCCCCTCGCCCCACGGTGCGCCCAACCCGTCCCCACCACAGCCCCTCTGTCACCGACACCGTCCCGCCGCCGTCGGAGGATGGAGCCGCCGGGCAGGGGATCGGAGGACGTCGCTGTGTCCGTGGATGACTCCCCGGGAGCCAGCAGCCCACGGTGGGCACCGGAGCCAGCCCCGTGCCAGCCCCGTGCCAGCCCCGTGCCAGCCCCTCCCTCCGTGCCTCCATCATCCAGCAGGGCCGGGTTTGGCTCTGTTGGCCGCCGGCTGCCCCTGGACGTCTCTGCTCCATCTCCTCATCCCCGCGCTCCCCAAGGCCTCCAGGGCAGGGCGTGTGCAGGGCACGGAGGACAGCGTCCATCATCCCTGCCTGGCACTGGGCTGTGCTGATGGCCAGAGCCACCTGGGGCTCCTGCAGGGCCTGCTCTGCTCCTCCTGGGCTCAGCTCCACGTCTTGGAGGCCTCACTGTGCCAGCTGAGGGGACTGAACTGTGCCAGCGAGGGAAGGGCATGGAGGGCAGCGCCCATCCCTCCCTGGTACCCGGCTGTGCTGATGGCCAGAGCCACGTGGGGGTGGCTGACCCCATCCTGCAGGGTCAGCCCAGGCTGTCCCCAAGCCTGCTCTGCTCCTCCTGGGCTCTGCTCCACGTCTTGGAGCCCTCACTGTGCCAGCTGAGGGGGCTGAACTGTGCCCGTGTCCCCCTGGGGCAGCTTGGGGGGCTCAGCCCCGTGGGGCAGGAGTGGGGTGGGGGTCCTGTGGTTCCTCGTGGCAGCAGCAGGGTGGCCCAGCATCCTCTTCTCCTGCTCCCTTCCTTTCTCTGCCCCTCAGCAGCTCTGCAGAGCCACGTTCTGGGCTCCTGGGCTGCAGCTTTGGGGCTCCCCAGGCTGGGGGAATCCCCAGTTCACCCCAAATTTAGGCACTGGGAGCTGCCAGGGGTCTGGTGTCCCACAGAGGGCAGCCTAACCCTGCACCCCAGCCCTTCAGTGGGGATTTCACCACCAGCACCAGCGTTTCCTCCCCACTGAGACCAGCTGGGGCAGGCAGGGGGGCCCCCATGGTGCCCAGTGCCCACATCAGCTGCCCCTGAGCTCTCCAGGAGCTTTGGGCAGGCTGCAGTCAGGTGAGGGATCCTTTTCCAAGTGTGAGAGGCTTCCTTCTGCCCAGGGATCCCCCAAAATGTGTGTGGGGCAGCGCCCAAGCTGCCCAGCCCACCAGGACGCCGCTGGTTGAGCAGCCAGGAATGGGGCTCAGCTCCCCCAAGGATGGGCCTTTCCTTCCCCCATACTCCCCCCGTGTGAGCAGTGCCACCCCCTGTCCCCCTGCCATCCCTGCTGTCCCCCAGGTGCCACCCAGGCTGCAGTTTTGCCCCCATTGGAGTCACTGCAGGGCTCAGGGGGTGCCAGCCCTGTCCTGAGCCCTGGCCGGGCACCCACAGCCCCTGGGAGAGGCAGGGCTGGGTTAGAGGGGTTTGGGGGGGCACTGCCAGGGCAAGGGGGCCTCTCCTGCCTGCCCATCCTCTGCTGGGCATCGCTGGAGCCCCATTGCTGCAGAGCAGGGCCCGGGTGTCCCCGCAGTCCTGGGGGCAATGTCACCTCTTGCCACCCCACAGCAGGGGCCAGCACCACCCACCCATCCCAGCCGGGCCCTGCAATGCCCCCAGCCCCAGTCTGGGGCTCTCTCCCCACCCTTGGCACCCCCTGCCCCTCGGTTGGCTCTGACCCCCAGCCCAGTCTGGCCCTGGGGGCGGTGGGGGGCAGGAGCAGCCCCCGGGCGGGGCGTGGGGTGTGACAGGAGCGGCTGCTGGGCCCGGCACCGTCCCCACCCCGCCCCACAGCCCCTCCGTCCCCTCCCAGCTCTGCTGAAGTGCACTTCCCGTGCCCCTGAGCTTTTCACTTGTGCCGAAGCCGTTTGAATTCCTTTCCCTTTGCCATCCCATCCCATCCACCCCGTTGTTTGTAAAACACCCAAAAACGAGCAAATAAAACTGTGTGAACAACCGGCCTGGAGGCACCATGGGCGGGAGGAGGCTGGGCTGGGCATGCTGGGAGGGTGCGGGTGGAAGGTTTGGGGTGGGTTCTGCTGTTCCTTCGTTGTGTGGGCACAAAATGTGGGGAGAGAGGGGTCTGGGGCACCCAGGAGGCTGGGAGGAAAGGGATGAGGGGTGATGCTGCCCAGGTAAAGGGGGGGATGCCCCCAGGTGCCATCACCGCCTGGCCAAGGGTCCTTGTCCATCCGATGGTTCAGGTCCTGCTTCTGCCCAGGGCAGGGATTCCAGAGCTCTCTCCTGGGGCAGTGGGGCCTCAATCCTTGCTGGTGCCAGCCCAGGTGCCAGCACACGCCCTGAGGCGGGTGTGGAGAGCTCCTGGCTCCTTGGCATCACCTGTGGACTTTGGCTCAGCCCCAGGGTAGAACAGGCTCTGCTCACCTGCCCGGAAACGCAGAGCAGCCTGGCAGCCACGGGCAGCAGCCACTGTGCCCAGGCCAGGCAGTGCCAGCCCAGCAGGAACGGGCACCAAGGGGGTAAGAGGGGCACCGAGGGGGTGAATGGGGCACCAAGGGGGTGAATGGGGCACCAAGGGGGTGAGAGGGGCACCAAGGGGGTGAATGGGGCACCAAGGAGGTGAGTGAGGCACCAAGGGGGTGAGTGGGGCACCCAGGGGGTGAGTGGGGCACCAAGGGGGTCAGTGGGGCACCAAGGGGGTGAATGGGGCACCAAGGGGGTGAATGGGGCACTAAGGGGGGAAGAGGGGCACCAAGGGGGTGAGTGGGGCACCAAGGGGGTGAATGGGGCACCAAGGAGGTGAATGGGGCACCAAGGAGGTGAGTGGGGCACCAAGGGGGTGAATGGGGCACCAAGGGGGTGAATGGGGCACCAAGGGGGTGAATGGGGCACCAAGGGGGACAGTGGGACCCCCAGCACCACAGCTGGGGCGAGCTGGGCTCTGTGTGACACCAGTGCCATGTTTGGGTGGCAGTGGGGGCCGGGAGGGTCTTCCTGGCAGAAATGGGACAAGGACAGGGCTGAGTGCCTGGCATGGCATGGCTGTGACAGCCGTGCCAGGAGGGAGGGCAGCTCTGGGCATGGGCAATGCCACCCACCCCATGAGATCCAGCCACATGCAGGCACCAAGGGCACCAGGGACGCTGTGCCACAGCCCTGCCCTTATCCTGGCACCTGCCAGAGCCATCCAGAGCTCTGTGCCCAGGGCAGGAGGCGCTGCCCTATGCGAGGAGCTGGGGCTGGCAGTGCCAGGGCTGCTGTGGCAGGAGGGCACACACGGGGTTATCAGCTGGGAGGCTCCATGGTGTGACAGCAGAGCCCAGGCTGCTCCTGGCACAGGGCTCTGCTGCCATCCCCCCCTCTGGGGCTAACAGGGTGAGGGGAAAGGTGCACGTGGAGATTCTGCTGAAGCTTCAATGCCATGAATGGAGGGGCAGAAAGGCTGGAGGAAGGTCTGTGGCTGCATGGCCACGGCACCATGGCACATGGAGGTTGGCACTTTGGGGCATCAGAGCCAAGGGCAGCCCCCCGGGCACGGGCCCAGCAGCACAGGAATTTGGAGACAGGGCAGTGAGCCCAAGGTGCTTCTTGGAATGCCCCAGATCTCCCTGGTGCTGAGCTTATCAGGGCCCTGCAGCCACCCCCTCACCCCCCCACGCCCCAGAGCTGCCACACCCCGGCAGACAGAGCTCAGCTGGGAGCCCTGGGGACATGGGGACCCCTGCCCTGCCCGCTCCATGGACAGTAAGTGCAGCGTGCTGGGGGCTGAGGGCACTGCCAGGCTCTGGGGGGACGCTGTGTGCCCCTGGCCATGCAGGGATGGTGGCACTGAGCAGGGCTGGCGCTGAGGGGGTGCAGGGATGGTGACACTGAGGGGGTGAAGGGATGGTGGCAGGGATGGTGGCACCAAGGGTGGGCAGGGATGGTGGCACTGAGGACATGCAGGGCTGGCACTGAGGGTGGGCAGGGCTGGTGGCACTGAGGGTGTTCAGGGCTGGCACTGAGGTGTGCAGGGCTGGCACCCAGGGTGGGCAGGAATGGTGGCACTGAGGGGGTGCAGGGACAGTGGCACTGAGGTGTTCAGGGCTGGCACTGAGGGTTTGGAGGGATGGTGGCACCAAGGGTGTGCAGGGCTGGCACTGAGGGTTTGGAGGGATGGTGGCACTCAGGGTGGGCAGGGATGGTGGCACTGAGGACATGCAGGGATGGTGGCACCAAGGGTGGGCAGGGCTGGCACTGAGGGTTTGGAGGGATGGTGGCACTCAGGGTGGGCAGGGATGGTGGCACTGAGGACATGCAGGGATGGTGGCACCAAGGGTGGGCAGGGATGGTGGCACTGTCTGGGTGGGCACCAGAGGGACATGCACACGTGCTGGGATCTTTGTGTGCACCAGCCCATCCTGAGGGCAGCCCTTGGCTCAGGGGGGCACAGGGTGTGTGTGTAGCCCTGTGCAGAACCCCCAAGCTGGGGGGACCCTGGAAATCACCCCAGATGTCTCATTATGGGGGGGATCCCATGCCAGACTGGCGGCAATGCCATCTGCTGTGCCCAGCACCTCTCACGGGGCTTGGCTGGGCTGGGGGCAGTCCAGAACAGGGAATTTTGAGCCCCTGCAGTCCCACAGCACCAGAGGGAGCTGAGGGAGGTTGGATGTTTTGGGTGCAGCTCTGGGAGGGGCCGTTCTGCTGGCGTGGAGCCCTGATAAGAGCCCAGCTGGTTTCTGTGTCCCTGCTCCCCTCCTGTGCCAGCGCTGCCCAGGGAGGGGGAGTCCCCTTCCAGCCGGGATTTCATCCCCTCCAAACATGGTAAGAGGCGTGGGCAGGTGGTTTTCATTATCCTCGTCACTGGGGGCAATAAAAGAGCGAGAGTGAATCACAGCAGGGGAATTAACAGGTAAACTCAGCTTCAGGAATGGAGGCTGAGCCACCAGGGCTGGGCACGGGGCTGGGCAGCAGCTCCAGCGGTGAAACATCGCCCGGGGCTGGCCAGGATGTCCCAGCTAATGAGGACACGTGCTGCTGCCCCAGGGAAGGTTTAAAAAGCTCCTGGCTGGGAGCTTTGTGGGAGGGAGGATGGAGCGTCCTGAGAGTACCAGAATCACGGAAGGAGAAGGAAGGGAGACACAGAGTGCTGGGGATGAGCCAGGATGCTCGGGATGCAGGGAACACCAGGCACCTGGGGCAGCTCATCCTGAGCTGAGCTCGCCAGGAGCGTGGCCCCAGGGCTGTCCCTGCTGTCACCGTGGCCTTGCTCCAGTTTTGCTGCATGCTCCCAGGAGGCCGTGAATGGCCGGGAATGGTGCCCAGCAGTGACACACCCCGACCTGCCAGGGCTCACAGGTGAGGGCAAAGCCCTAAACCTCAGCAAATATGGCACAGGGTGTGGTGCTGCCTGTGATGGTGTTCACAGGGGTCTCAGGTTGAAGGAAAAGACAAGGATCTGACTCCATGTGTCAGAAGGCTTGATTTATTATTTTATGATATGTATTACATTAAAACTATACTAAAAGAATAGAAGGAAATACTTAATCAGAAGGCTGGCTAAGAATAGGATAGGAAGGAATGATAACAAAGGTTTGTGGCTCAGCTCTCTGTCTGAGCCAGCTGGGCTGTGATTGGCCATTAATTAGAAACAACCACATGAGCCCAATCCCAGATCCACCTGTTGCATTCCACAGCAGCAGATAACCAGTGTTTACATTTTGTTCCAGAGGCCTCTCAGCTTCTCAGGAGGAAAAATCCTAAGGAAAGGATTTTCCATCAAAGATGTGTGTGACAGTGCTGCCTCCAGGCACAGCTTGCCTGCAGGTGACATGTGTGTCACCAGTTCTGCAGCCAGGGATGGCCTCTGTGATGAGGTGGCAGCTGCTGTCTCATGGGGACCCACCTGTGCTGCCCCTCCCTTTCTGGGATCTGCTGTTCCAGGATTGACCCCAAGGCTGGGGCTGCTCCCTCCTGCCCTGTGTGCCAGGGGGGGTTAAAGTCCCCTCGTTTTATGAGCCATGAAACTGTGTTTATGAGCCCAGTTTCTAGAGCTGGGCTATTTGGAGGCTCCTTTCTGTAAATGGCACAAGAAGATATTCCATGCAGGAGTGGCCCAGGCCTGGCACCACCTCTCCCTGCCCAGGGTTTGAGCTCCCTCCCTGCCCTGTGCACGTGGAGAGGCAGAGGCTGTCTGTGCCCAGCTGGATTTGGTGTCACCAGGAGCTTGGGCTGAGCTCCTGCTGTGGAGGAGCAATGGGGGGCAGCACGGTCAGGACAGATGGAGATGAGAGATCTCTGCAGCCAGGTCAGGAACTTGGGGTTTATTGCAAAGGGCCTGGGGGCAGGGCCCTGCTGGGAGCTGCCAGGCACAGCTGGAGCAGGACTGAGAGAAGAGAGGGGGAGAGGGGCAAGAGAGTGAGGTTCCCGTTCCAATACAATAAATCTTCTTCTGCGCTGAATATTCTGATTCTCACTAACCAATCCAGTACAATACACAAATCCTATAGCATTTACATACAGCCTATAAGAATCACTACATTACCATACTGTGTTACATTTTAAACCCTAAAAATCTCTCTTTGGGCCCCTTCTGCCAAGCTGGCAGGGTCTGCTCTGACCCTTGGGCCTGTCTGCAAGCAGAGGGTGTTGTTCCATCAAAAGGGGATCACCTTCAGCCGGCCATGCCATTGTTTTCCAGTTGTTCAGTAACTGAGGGATCTCAAAGCTTGCTTTCATTTCAATCTCGCTTATAGCTTCCATATTCTCAAAATCTTTTGCCAGCCAATCATATTTCTAAGGCTTTCCTGTTTCATCTTCCCCAACACTGCTGCCTTTGGAGGTGCAGGCAGCACTGACTGCCTGGGCAGGTTTGGCTGAACTCCCTCAGAGCCTGGCCAGGCTGGGGGACAGAGGTGGGGGTGATTTCTGGGCTCTGTGGCAGTTCCTGTTGGGAATTGTGCTTTGTGCTCTGGCTGCTGCTGCCCCACACAGGGCAGGCTGGTGTGGCAAAT